CGGATTATGAAGGGAACCACTATAAATCTTGGTGTCCACTTTCTTTATGCTTTCTACTGCATTCATTACCAAGAACATAACCAAAGGAAAATTAAAGAACACCAAAAATCCGAAAAAAGTTTCCATAAGCCTAATTTACTCCCCCCCCCCCCCCCCCTCTTAGGCATACTCTGATCTTTCACTCCTCTCGCTTGTCTAGAGCTTTTAGCATACGTCTCGCCTGGGGGAGATACACCACATATTCGTTCCTATATCATAGTCTTTAGTCTAATGTAAATCACAAAGCAAAATAATTCACTTCACCAAAACTCACATATAAAATTCAAACCTTTTTATCCTTCGGGATTTGTGTTTTAAACTCATTTTCAGAAAGAGTACATTAATTTTCTATTCTATCGCAAACAAGCATCGATCCTAGCTGCTGGAATGGAACTTAACGTTGCTCATAAAAAACACTTAACCAACCTGTGGTTTCGTAGTCCCGAACTACGTTTGCTCTAATTTCTCATGCCAGATGAGGATACGTAGGCACAAGATGGTGATATCTTGGCGAGCAACCTTCCCCCATTACTCGTAGTTTTCTGAACTACGTTGGCTATGATTTTCCCACTGCACGAGAGAATACATAGGCATAGTGCGGAGATGTCCTATCGAGTCTCTCTTTGTTTTTCTTTGTTCTCGTATCCGTTTAGCAACAACTTTTAGATAAACACATCCTTTTATTAGACTACAAGCAAGGATTTTGTTGAGTACAACGGACGTGAGGGGTGCTCATACCTTCCCCTTGTATAAACGACTCCCGAACCCAAGATTTGGTCGCGATGAACTTGTCTTTTCTCGTTCTTTAGGTTTTCTTCAATCGTTTCGTTTCCCTCTCTTTGGGATAAATAACATTCGGTGGCGACTCTTTTGTTTTTCTGCCGAGTGTTTTTCGCAGTTGCGGCACCACCTTAAATAAGAATTCCTTTCTAAGTTTTTCATCTTCGTTAAATCTTATCACTACATGTCTATCATCTGCCCCACTATCAAGCTCACCAGTCATGTAATCATCTTCTATGACATGTTTCCTATCCATCTCAGTTGTAGTAAAAATTTCAATTTTCCCTTGACCTGAACCAACATCATCAACGGGCTCTCTTCTAGACTCACCATTATCCACTCCATTATTTAACCCTTACATATGCCTTCAAAATCGTGCTTTCTCTCTTCTTCACTATCTTCAAAGTGTACACCATCCAAAGAGTCTTCAAATGATTCACTATCCTCAGCACCCTCATTTTCCTCAACATATTCAGGACCTTTTGTTTCTCTATTAACCTCTCCATATAAATCTTTTCACCACTTGATAATCTCGGCTCTGTATATATCTGAACATTATACTTACTCTTCTCAACACACAAAGCTAACATTGTTGCATCCTCATCATTAAAAAAGGGTTTTAGATCCTTTTCAAGACAACCATATTCAGCCTTCCACCATATTTTCACATCATCTATGTTAAAGGATGAGTCTATCCTATTAATTAAGTCATTGGCTTCAAAGTATAACAAAAATACAGAGTCTTGCCCACTTATAACATAAACGCCCCCTTCATATTTTAACCTTACATCCTTAACAAATGACCCTTTGGTATAAAATACAACCTTAAATAACTACATATCCTATAAATTACAAAAACAAACAAGGTTAAATCAAACATTATCAATCTCAGTCAAAGCAAAACAAACCCTAGATGTTTAGTTTACACTCAACAAAAAAAAACATGTTATTCGAGTGGGGCACATAACATAGTCAAAGCAAAACAAACATATTATTCAAAACAAGTGGGGCACATAACATACATGCAATATTTGAAGGCAATAAAAAATAGCAACTGGAGCACAAAATATACATGGAATATTCGAAGGCAATAAACAATAGCAACTAGGACACAAAATATACATACAATATTAAAAAGCATATGTGAGACTAACCTTATTATTGAGACTGCATCAACCTTCGTCAATGTTGGGACCACAAGTTATGAAGTACAAATAGGGTTTTGGAGAGAGGGACCACAAGCTTCGTCAGTGCGTCTTTAAATTTCTTCAAAAGAGAATAGAGTAAAAGTGAAGTGAATGAATTAGGGGTTTCCTTCTTATTTGGGCTTTTTAGCAAGATGGGCCATGTAATTTTACACATATCATGCCACCTAAGTAAATGAAATCCATCTTAGTAAAAAAATTAATAATTTAATCCACATGTCCTGCCACATAAGCATTTGTTAGTTGTATTTGACGTTAGAGATTAATTATGCAGACATAAAATTTTGAAGGGACGTTTTCTTGAAAGAATATTTTAAAAGAACTAAAAACAAAATCTGCAATATTTAGAGGGACCAAAAACTTATTTAACCAAAAAAATTATTTGCATGTATCAGTCTTATTTTCTATAAAAATGAAAACAAAAATTGTCTCTTAATACAAATGATAACATTGCTACAGCTTAAATTACTAAAAAAAAAGATAATTGATTTGGTCACAACAATTAAAGAGATGCAATTATTTTATTTTCTTATACTTATTTTTATTTTTATTTTGTATGTTTTTTTTTGTCTCTATCAATATTTGAAAAAAAAACACACTATATAATATTTTACTCCATAAAAATTCATGCATAAAATAGTTTTATAAAAAAAATCATTGGCACGTATTACTTTCAAAATCATAATAACAACGGAAAAATTATATTACAATATTTAAAATAAAGTGGTCAAACAATACTTTAAAATAGACAAACAAATATTTTATAATTCTTTTTAAAATATAATTCTTGCTTATAAATGCGTTTATATGTTATAAAGTTTAACTTTAAATATTAAATCTCATTACAGTGCTAAAAATTACATACATGTATAAATTATAATATTTTCAAATTTAATTTCACACTATTTTGTTGACAATTCGTTCTCTTAATCGGCACATCACTAAAAATCTGATGTGACACTCTTTAAAAAACCTAATTCTAAAATTTCTACTATTTATTTGAGAAAATATGTAATGTTTCATTTATAAATTTTTTTATAAATAAAACAATTATACATTCATATTCCAAGACTTATGCCCTTCTATTCACTAACTAAAAATCATGTATATTCATTGATTTATTTGTATTGTTTCTCCATTCCATATATAATGTTATATACTTATACAAATTATAAATTCATAATACAACCAAACACTTATTATTATAAGTTTTTTTTATATAAGTAAGGATTTTATTCAAAAGAGTACTAGGGGTACTCTAACCCAAACTTGCAAAAAGAGAAATATCGAACAAAAAAGCAACGCAAGAAAATTCAGACCAACTACGATTACGACATTCTACCCAAAGGATCCTGACAGAAAGCGTAAAAATCGCAGTTGAGATAAGAATTATCCCCCGTAAACCCTCATTTTCAAGCCAAAGTTTTGATTTCTCACACCAAATATGCAATATTACAAACAACTTCAGAGAATATTATGTTATTCCTCAACTTCCAAATCGCGCAAATGACCCATACCCATATGATTCCCTAGAACTGCTTTTTTATCTTTGCGTTAGATTCGCTTGAATTCCAAGAAATGAGATTATTCCATACAGAATCATCCTACTTCGAACCAGATTCGCTTGAATTCCAAGCAATGAGATTATTCCATACAGAATCATCCTACTTTGAACCGAAGCCTACCCAATCTTTGATCCTCTTCCAAACTATTGGGCCACAACCGAACAGTCGAAAAACAAATGGGATATCACTTTCTCTGCACCATGATAGAAAACGCATGACAAGTCCGATGAAGCGTCAATAATGTTAATTGATTTTTAGTGGGGATCCTGTCGAGACAACACCTCCAAACAAAGGCTCTAATTCTAAACGGAGCGCAAGTTTTCCACACAATATTCAACGCTCTATTTCTATCAGCTTCAACTTCTGCTCCATTCATGTACAAATTATATATCGACCATACATCAAAACTCATTCTATTAAAATTTCATTCAATTTGATCTATTGCGCACACTAACTTCTTATTTAAAAAAAAATTAAATTAGTTAAGTTTCAAATAATTCAATTAAAAACTTTGAGAGTTGATACAAATCTTACAAAAATAAAGTTTCTCAATTTTTAAATATTTTGATAAAAAATGTATGAGAGCTAATTTAATTCTTATAATAAAGAATAATTTTTAGTTTAATAATAAAAATGGTAACATTGTCTCTACTTAAATCACTTATAAAAAATAGATAGCTGATTTCGTAACAATAATTACAAAGATGCAATTAATTTATTTTCTTATACCAACCTTTTTTTACTATGTATTTTTTTTACTCTATCAGTATCTAAAAAAATATTTTATAATATTTTAATCCATAAAAAGTTGTGCATAAAATTGTTTTATAAAAAAATTATTCCCATGTACCAATTTTAAAACTATAATAACAACGAAAAACAACAACAATGTTTAAAATAAAGGGGTCAAACAATACTTCTATATAGACAAACAAATTCTTTGATATTATTTTAAAAATATAATTCTTAAATATAAATGCGTTTATATCTTACAAAATTTAATTTCAAATATTAAATCTCACTAAAATGCTAAAAAAAAATATCAAAAGATTCTTTCAAATTTAACTTATAATTTTCATAATTTTCAAATAGACAAACAAATACTTCAAACTGTTTCTAATACATTATTCTAAATAATAATTGCAGATACATATTACAAAATTAAATCATAAATTTTCAAATATCATTTATAATTCATTATATAAAAATGCATTGCAATATAAAATTAAATTATAATTAATTAAAATTGAAAAGATAATTCAATTGAATTAACTCAATTATAAATCTTACAAATTAATAATAAATTAAAATATAAATTTTATAATATTACCTCATATCATATGATCTGGACCTTTTACATTTGTAACAAGTCGTTGTTTATAAACTTATCCAACCATCTTATATAAATTTGCTACTTGTTAGAAGACATTTCTACTAGTTCAACAATTGAAGTGTATGTTCCTGATATTCCCATCACTATAGCAACTAATATTATTATCACTATTGCCATTGTTTCAAACCCAAAATTTTTGTAACTGCCAGAAATCTTCAAGTAACATGTGCAAGGAAGCAAAATAGAAGCTGTGACAGTTAGAAATGCTCCAACCAATGACATGAGAGTTCCAAAAAATGGAAGTGTGAATGTAACAATAACAATACTAATTACAAGAATAGTACTCATAAAGATGTTGGCCATTCTATTATTCTTGTATGTCCTTGGAAGTAAATTTTTTAGAGCATTTGTAATTGGTATTGCAATCAATGCAAACTTACACATTGGATTCACCAAGGTTGTGTATATTGCTATTTTTGAACTTATTTTGTTTAGTGGTAAGCTTAATGTTATCTGTGATTCAACTTTTGAACCAAACATTAAGTACCCAATTATAGCCATAGTTGCAAAACCAATAGATGCTAACATGAAGCATACAATTAGGACCTGCAATGTAAAGAAAACGCATAAATAGTTGATCTCATTCATTATCTCATTCAATGCGAAGTAGAAAACCAACTTTCATTGATTGAACTGATTTTCTCTTCTATATACTCTTCTATATACGCAAACAATCTTTAATATGGTCTCACCAAATTTACTGACTTAAAATCTTATGCAATAACGATCATATCTTTTATCTCACGAAGTTTCATGTCTTCTATATATTTCTTATATATTTGTATGATAAATATATTTTAGAATTTTTTAATATATATTATTTTCGTTTTAAAATAAGTGTTATGTTTGACACTTTATCCATATTAAAAAAATGCAATAAGAGAAAGAGAGAATAGGGATTTTATCAAATTATTCTTATTGCTTTTTTTTAATAAACAATTATATTGAAAAGAATCACAAATCTTCTCAAACAAATTACAAAGTTAATGTAATTTGAAATAGCTTATTGGATTACACCACCAATTTTTAAAAATTAGAATTGATATACTCTTCAAACCTATAAGTAGCCAATTCCACGAAATAAAACCGATCTACTCTTATTGATTATTGTTGTATTATAATTATTATTAATGTTATTGAAATTACAAGTATTAATTCATAGATAAAATCATTCAAAATTAAATATAAAACTTATATTAAGACATATGTAGTACTATTTTATTTTATTAAAAGTAACTAATATATTGTTTAGTTAAGTCAAATCAGATGATAGTTAAATTCAAAAAAAAAAAATCCTACACAAGTAATTATCTAAATAAAAAAATTAGGTTTAATTATAATTTAGGTCTTTATTTTTATTTTTTTGAGTTTTGATTTCCCTATTTTTAAATTCAGCATTTTTGTTCCCCTATTTTTTATTTTTTTGAGTTTTAGTCACTCTATTTTAAAATTTAAAATTTTTATCCCTTAATTTTTATTTTTTATGAATTTTGATCTCTTTATTTTCATTTTTTTAAACTTTTGGTCACCCTATTAAATTTGTTCTAAATAAAAAAGGGGAACTAAAATCCACAACAATACATAAAATAGAGGGTCAAAACTATAAAAAAATAAAAATAGAGGGACCAAAATTCTAGATTTTAGAATAGAGAGACTAAAACTAAAAAAATTAAAAATTGAGAGACAAAACCAACAAAATTAATTAAAAAAAGCACTCACATTAGAAAATTGACGTTTGTTCTTCATGGAAGTGTAGAGAACTGGAAAAATGGGATGTGCACTATAGCAAAATGTATACAAGCTAACAGCTGTAGGGATACCATTCCAATTAACTAAATCACCCTTTTGATGAACACCAACTCCATCAAATGCTGCAGTGCATATTATTGAGAGTATAATAATAGCAGAAGCCAAGACACCACTTGCAGATACATAAGAAAGAAAACTCAAATTATCCAACCAAACTGTTGGTAAAATAATTAGTGCAACCAATATAACAAAGAATTGCTTTGCACCAATTAATATGCCAGACACCTGAAACTCTTCAATAGGAAATAAATTACTCAAATTGTCTCCTTCAAGAATCATGAAACCTATTAGAAGAGAGTAGGACTCAGAGTACATTGATATTGCTGCTATTAATTTTCCTGTTTTTCCAAATGCAAGTTCACCCATATCAGAAAATGTTCTAATTTTGGAGTGCTTTTCCATGCATCTTTTCATTAATAAACCAGTGTAAAATGTTACTGCAGCAATAGAAAATAAAAGTACTAAACTTAGCCACCCTCCTGAGGCTAAAGCATATGGAACTGATAGTATTCCAACACCTGAAAAACCAAAATCATATAAATTTTCATTAGCATATTTTTGTTAAATTTAATGCTAGAAACATCAAAATTACATTTAAATTTCTCTATTATTTTTAAAATAAAACTATATATATATATATATATATATATATATATATATATATATATATATATATATATATATATATATATATATATATATATATATATATATATATATATATATATATATATATATATATATATATATATATATATATATATATATATATATATATATATATATATATATATATATATATAAATGATTTTTTCAAAATAAAAATTATTAATTTAGTATAATGATTTTTTCAACTTTGTTCTTGTATTTAAACTGTAAAAGCATAATTCAAATTTAAATAATAAAATATTATACAAATGAAATTAAAAACAAACCCTAGATAATAATACATATATACCAAAAATTCAAATTAAAAAGAAGGAATTAGTATCCGTCATTTTTCTAACCTAATTTATTAGTATACATAATACAAAATAAATACAACCCAGCAATATAGAAGTATTGTAATGTATTATTAGAGTAAATTTTCATTATTTATTTATTTATTAAATAACTGATATATTTAATTTAAAAAATTAAAATTCGTTTATAATAAAGAATAAAGGGAGTATATGTTAAGAATTATAGAGTAAGACCTGATATTGCATTGAGTCCATTGAAACATGTTCGAATAAAAGAGACTTCATTTTTGTTTGGAGAATCAGAGGCTATGAGTTTTTCCTCATCAATTAGATTCTTCTCGGATAGTAAAGGAAAATTTAAGTTATTGACAGAAGTTGCAGCCATCTTTGAGATATATAAGAAGAGGTGGAAAACAATGAATGCACGTATGAGATATATATAGCTGGACCAATGTTGTAGCAATTGACTGATATATTTTCAATCATTAGAGGAGTAAATTGAATATAGTTTAATAATGAATCATATACTTTTTCTTCTCACTGTTTGAGAATGAGCGATGAGTACAAAAATATGGCCACTTGTGTATGTCTGCATTAAATAATTTCGATGGCTTCTTTTATAAATTACAAGGGTTCTATTTGAATTTCATATTTAATAACAATTTAACAACTTTTTCATTTCACACTTTGGTAAAAAAAAATTATATGCATAACTGAATAATTATTCAACTTACTCATAAAAGAATTGTGCATTTCTATAGTGATGATTATAAAATGTTATTTGTCATAAAAGAAAAAAACTTTCTCTTAAAGATATCGATATATTGTCAGTTGAATTATCGGCGATTTTGTATAACATTTGTTTTAATAGTCAGATTATCACTTACATGTACATCATTTACTTGGATTATATGAGACAGATCCGGAATTTATCTCCTCAATTGAGACACATAAAATACATTATGAAGATTAACAAGCGGTGGTGACAAAGCAATCCCATAGGCCACCTATCATATGCTTTGTAAAATTTAATACAGATCAACAAAACATTGCGTAAGTTTTTGAGACTTCAAAACTCAACCAACACAAGTTACCAGAGTAGCTCGCAAAACCACATGGTCTCCCTCTTGAAACTCAACTGCTTTCCTTCTCTTGACATGATAAATATTTTGACCACCCTGCAAAGCTTTCATTTTCTCTTGAATCACTTTGATATTTTTTGTGGTCTGTTGGACAATCTCAGGTCCAATCACAACACTCTATTTTGACTCATACCAACATAAAGGTGTCCTACACCTACTACCATACAACGCCTTGAATGAAGTCATTCTAATACTCGAATGGAAACAATTATTGTCAATAAACTTTATTAACGGTAAAAATTCATCCCAAGCATCTTCTTGTTCTAACACACATACTCTCAACAAGTCTTCTAAGTATTTGATGGTCCTCTCCGTCTGACCATCTGTCTGCGGGTGATAAGCAGAATTCAAATATAGCTTCATACCCAAAGCTTTCTGGAAACTCCCCTAGTATCTCAAAATAAACTTTGGATCCCTGTAAGATACAATACTTGATGAAATCCCATGAAAACTGGCAATCTCCTAAATATACAACTCTACTAGTCTCTCCAATGGATAGTTAAGTCGAATCAGAATTAAGTGAGACGATTTAGTCAACCTATCCACAATAACCCAAATAGTGTCACAATTCTTTACTGTCTCCGAAAGACCAGACACAAAGTCCACTAGAATACTGTCCCACTTCCACTCACGAATATTCAACGGTTGCATCAAACCCAAAGACTTATGATGTTCAATATTTGACTTCCAGTAAGTTATATAAGCATACACGAACTCAACAATTTCCCTCTTCATTCCTGGCCGCCAAAACATCTTCCTCATGTCTTGATATATTTTAGTAGCACCGGGAAAAATACTCAAGCCACTCCTATGACCTTCCTCAAGAACACTCTTCTTAAGTCTGAAAAAATCTAGTACATAAACGCTATCTCTGAATCGTATCACACCATTCTCGTCGATTCTGAATTCACCACCTTGACCTTGATTAATTGACACTAACCGGTAAACCACTTCCAAGTCGACCTTTTGATCTTCTTTGATCTTTTCGAGAATACCACTGGTAAGCTTCAACATAAGATCCAACTCTCTGAATTCTTCGAGAATAAGACGTTACTTCACAAACCAAACTCAAATCTTGAAATTCTTTGATAAGATCCAATTCTCTAGTCATCAATGTCGACATATGCAACGATTTCTGACTCAAAGCATTAGCTATATCATTTGCTTTACTAGGATGGTAATTCAAACCAAAATCATAGTCCTTCAGAAATTCGAGCCATCTCATATGCCTCATATTTAACTCTTTTTGATCAAATAAGTACTTCAAACTCTTGTGATTACTAAATACTTTAAATCTAGAACCAAACATGTAATTCCTCAAAACATTGATTACAAACATACTAACGTCTAATTCTATATCATGCGTATGATAATTCCTTTCATGAACCTTTAAATGTATAGAAGCGTAAGCCACAGTCTGTTTATTCTGCATCAACGCACCACCAAAACCCATTATCGACGCATCACAGTACACCATAAAAGACTAACTCGAATTTGGAAAAATCAATACTAGATCATACATCAACTTCTTCTTAAGTTTTATAAAACTCTATTCCCACAAAGCATCTCACACATATTTTTGACCCTTTCGCGTCAATTGAGTCAAAGGCAACGCCAACTTTGAAAAGCCTTTGATAAACCTTTTGTAGTTACCAACAAAACCTAGAAAACTTCTGATCTCGATAACAGACATTGAAGTTTCCCACTATAACACAACATCAACATTCGACAGATCAACAACAATAACTCCACTAGAATTTACATGTCCTAGGAAACTCACTTCATTCAACCAGAACTCACACATATATAACTTTGCATACAACTTCTTTTCTTTCAAGGACTGCAACCCGATTCTCAAATGTTCTGCATGATCTTTATCGGACTTCAAATATATCAGAATATTGTCGATGAACACAACCACAAACTGATCTATATAAGGATGGAATATTTTATTCATGTACTCCATGAAAACTCCAAGAACGTTAGATACACCAAACAACATCACAAAATACTCGTAATGACCATACCTTATTTTGAATGCAGTATTTAGAATATCTTATAGTTTCACTCGAATCTGATCATATCTTGACCTCAAATCAATCTTACTCAAAATCCAAGCGCCAACCAACTGATCCATCAAATTATCAAACCACAAAAGTGGATACTTTTTCTTAATAGTCACCTTATTTAGACGTCAATAATCCACACCTAAACTCGTGTTACAATCCTTATTCTTAATTATCAACACTGGCGTTCCCCACCGAGAAATACTCTGTCGGAAAAACTTCTTCTCAAACAACCTCTTCCAACTGTTTCTTCAGCTCACTCATCTATGATGCAAACATTATATAAGGAGCCATCAACACATGACTAATATCTGGTACTAAGTCTATATCAAATTCAACCTCGCGCTCCGGTGGCAAATCATTGATATCATCTGGAAACGTTTATGGAAAATCTCACGCCACTGGTGATTCATCAATCACAACTTTTTTCCAGCCTTTATAAAGGCTAGTGTCATAAACACCTTAACATCATCTTTCATGCACTCATCTACTTCCTTAGAAGACATAAACAACTCATCACTGACATCAAACTCCATAAATAACACTGACTTGTCAAAACACTTGATATGAACCTCGAATTTCATCTTCAACAAACTCGAGAAACAACACTGACTTATCAAACAACTTGCACTCTTGCAAACTGCAGTACGACGAACCAATTCTCCACACTTGAAACATCTCGAAAAAGTAAAAACTTCTCCCCCAGTTGAATCAATCCTTCTCTGGCCAACTAGCGGTTAGAAAAACAAATGAGTATTAACAGTATTTCACACATATGTCGCATACCAGGAAACAAATAAAATTCTAAAACCCTGGTCTGATGGACCGACCTGCTCATGATACCACTATTGTAACACCCTAAAACACCACGCTTAATATTATAAAATAAGACATATAGAAACACATATTCAAAGCTTAGGATGTTACTCAACATCAAACCCATCTATTCTGCAACACATATTCAATTAGATAATATCTTCATATACACATGTCATCGCAAGCTCACCTTCACTTAAGGTATCATCGCAGTGGAATTTCATCAACTAAACATGCATCATAATAAAATAACTCTTATGAAATACTTTATCAGAATTCAAAACGATCATGGCAAAGCCTCCACAACTAACAATACTCCAAACGTCGAGAGTATAACATTCAACTCTCATTAGAAAACATAAACAAAGAAATAACAATGTTCGTCCACCCCGTGTTACAGATCAAACCAACGAAAATCTAAAAATGTGTGGAACGGAAAAAAGAGTGGGGTAGCTTCAATGCCATCCTCGAACTCTAACCAACTACTTGTCCAATAGTAGATATGACTTTTTGGTATGCTCAGGGAGTGCTTGTGGTTTTAGTTCTTCTCTTGGTGATTCCTAATTTATTGATGATGGTGTTATTGACTTGAGATCTAACTTGATTTCTTGTTCTACTTGAAATTTATAGAGGTTGCGTTGTTTATTTTTTCGTTTTGCTGATGATTCGTTCAATTTTTTATTGGTGTAGTTTTATCTTTATATGTTCCTTTTCATTTAGTGAGGTTTTATTTGATATATCATGTTCTAGATGATTACATGATTCTGTAATTAGATTAGTGTTTTTCTCTCTCTTATATAATAGATTTAAATAGTCAATTAATTCGTATAAAAAGGGATATTTTTTATTTTTGTTTCTCTATTTTTTTATAAAAATTAATCACCAAATGTTAAAAATTTGTTGGTTTTAATTGATAATGTTAAAATCCGTAGAAAATCCATATATTTCTTTGCGAATTTTATTTTTAAAAACTAAAATCCAATAACATTTAAAAACTTTATAAAAAAATATTTGGATGAAAATCAAAAACACTTCAACAAATTATTTAGACCTATATAATATATTATTTTGCCTTTAAAAAAAATAGTATAATTTAATACAGCCTCGCAGATTTTAAAATAAAACCACGAAATCTTGGACTTAGCTGGACTCTTTCATATGTGCTTGAAGACAAATTATTGCAAAGATGACTAAAGCATGCTAGTGATTAAACAGAATCTAAATTAATTAAAAATATTCCCGACCATCTTCTCCATGTTCTGACCTCACATGTTGAATTAATCTCCTACAATATATTCAAAAATATAATATGCTTTTGTAATTAATATAAGTAGCTCACATGAAAATTGTCTAATCATACC